CTATCAAAGTCAAACCGATGTGTGACTTTGAATCCCCAAGTATAAGTGTATTTCAGGTGCACTCCCTAGAGGACATGCACACACACATGGTGCGGGGTTCTTCTCTTGGTACATGTGCATAGCTCTAACCAGTGGATACCTGGAAGAGTGGCTTCCCATGCATTGCGACTGTATATGCACATGCTATGAGAAGGTTCTAGGAGTAGGTCAATGTCTTGTATTGGCTCTAACCTTCCCGTACAGGGCTTTTTGTTATTAGTCTCATACATAAATCATATTGCCCTGGCCCATCACTCAGTCATGAGGCACAAACATAATAACCAACCCTGACTAATAGGTAACCCTCAACCCTCTCGGTACCTCCCATATATAAATCTTCCTTATGACGTAATTGGGGTTTCATAACGCTTGGTCCCTGTGCCCCAAGATCTTAAAGTCGTCGCTCTTTTACTCTCATTGAAGTTTAGAGACATTGAAAATGTCAGAATTTATGCCCTCAAAAGGACATAATTCTTGTCTACTATTATGCCTGCGCCATCTCTTTTATTATCTTTTCCTATGTACAAAAATATTGTACCCATCTATTTATTTAATTTTCTCCTTTCCACTTAGTATTGAGGTGAGTATTATGGTGTATAATCTATTTAACACTGAACTAGGTGGGAAGAAAGGTATCTAAGTCAGTAGTAGGTCAAAAGATACAGAAGCTTTGACTTTATGCAACTTTATGTTCACATAGAATATGACTTGTTGTCCTACCAAAAAACTTATTTACAGAATTGCCCTAGTTTAAGTACAACTTATACATTTCTTGTAAATACTTCCACTTTGGAGATTGAATCTTTTACCTCTAATATGCATCGTTATTTGGTTATTTTAGGAGAACCTTATCAATTGTATTTCTCAATACATATCCTTCAATGTATGATCAATAGATGATCAGACTCTGGTAGCAAGTAAAATTTGACATTAAACATGTTCATTCTAAATTTAGATTTTAACATCTTGATTTTGTCGAGTTGATCTTCCTATCATTATGATCATCATCGGCTCATAGCTTTTTCCCAATTAATTAGGATTGGCTACACCAATCCTGGTCTGTCATTCTGCTCTATTAAAGGCCATACCCTTAGTGAGGCCATAAGTCTCCCTATCTTTTTGGACTACTTCCAACCACATCCCTTTGGGCTTGCCCCTTGCCCTTTCCGAACCTTCTGCTTGACCTAACTCGCACCTCCTAACAAGTGTTGTATTGGGTCTGCGCCACACACATGGCTAGCCTACCTAAGTCTACTGTCTCTCATCTTATCACCTATTGGTGCAACCTAAATTTTTCTGAATGGATTCATTTCGGATTCTATCCCTTCTTGTCTTGCCATTCATCCATCTCAACATCCTCATCTCTGTTACACTCATTCTATGGGTGTATTATTTTTTGTGTGCCCAACGTTCTGCCGTACAAAGTAACGATGGTCTCACAGTTGTCATATAGAACTTCCCTGTCAACTTCACTGGTATACAACGATCACATAAAATTCCAATTGCACATCTCCACTTCGCCCGCTTAGTTCTAATTCTGTGTACGACATCTTTCGCAATCTCTTCATTTCTTATATTGTCGACCCAAGATATCAAAAGTGCGGTCTTTTTGGTACTTCTTGGCCATCAATGTTAACTACTTCTTGGTCTCTACTCCCATATTACTAAATTTGTATTCCATATCTTTCTATCATTATGATATTGATTCGAAATTTAGATGTTAGCTTCTTCCTGTTGTTCGAATCTATAGGCTATAAGTAAACATGCCCAAAAAGCAGTGGCTACTAGATTGTCTAAGCCCTGGTCTTGTTGATTGTTTTTGGATCTTGATTGTTGATTGGTGGAACAATAGAATGACATCCTTTTATTTATTGTGATTTGTGTGTGTTTGTGCTTTTTTATTTTTTATATATTTTTATTTTTCAGTGGGGTGGGGGAGGGTGTTGGGGGGTGGAGGGTTGGGTTGGGCAAATAGGTCAGTTAGCTCATTTTGATTTAAGGGAGAAACTTTTAAGGTTTGATACTAAACTTTAAACCGGGTGTCTCACTGTTGAACTGTAGGCTTAGTGTGGTTTGAAATGACCTAAAGGTGCTAAAGGTAGTTAAATTTGAAAGGTAGACAATGTGATCTAGCTAAATATGTATAGTTAAATTTTTTCCTTCTTTCTTTTATTCATACCGGCTAGAACACTTGTAGGTGTCCAAAAACTACAACTATTTTTACAATCTAGGACCTTCATACCATTACAATTTTTTTACTTTCAAAACACAATGCATGAAGAATCAAGAAACATGGAGCTATTAGAATTATCAAATACCTTGCCACAGGTTACCACCAAGGACGTCGTACACCCACACTAGGCTCCACTGATGGCGCACGGGATCTTGGTCTTAAGCTTGTATCATAATTTGGGAGGTCTAGACAAAACCCTCATGACATAGTATGGGATAGGGCCCTTTCTCAACATTTAGGGTTATGAAAGCTTGGGCGTGGCCATGACTTCTATGGCTAGGGCGTGGCCCGCTTTTTTATTTGTCTTTCTTAACCCCAAATAGAGAGAGATGAGAGAGAAGAGAGTAGAGAGAGAGGCATGCTAGCTAAGAGAGGGAGAGAGAGACCATCCTTTTAAATGTGCGCAAAGAATAATCCCCATAGAGAATATTTGTAACACAGAGGATAGGATTTTGCCATCATTATGAGATTCAATCGTGACCTTAGATCTTGGAGACCCATGGGGTGAAGAAATCTTAGCCACCCATTCTCTAGATCAACCATCGTGAGTAAAGGAAGGTACTAGAACCATTAGCCCTCAGTTTCCATAATTCTATTCCCATGAAATATTTAATTGTAGAAAATAAAGTAATATAATGTGTTGATTTCAATTTAACTTATTCGTTTTCCTTTTTGAAATCAATCAAGCCTTTTTCAAATTGCCTTTGCTATTTTAAAATCTTCTAGAAGACTTGAATTACAAGTCAAGAGAGAGGAAAGAGAAAGTGCAGTGTGCCACCTTTGTGCCCTCCAAGTGGGCCTCACGACCCTCACTAAGTGGGCTCATTGTGGTGGTTCCTTATCACCAATGGGGCCCCACACCCTCTAAACAATTTTTTAATTCATTGAGTATTTTTATTTCCTCTTTGAAATAATAAAATCCTGAAAATTCATTTTAGGGTATTTAAAAATCCTTTATAGCCAAAATAAAATATCCTGAGTGATCTAGAAATATATTTTAATATTTTAAATATCAAATAAAGTTCATTTAAAAATATTAAAATGAGCTTGATGGGAATAGGATCCAAAGAGTTAGAAATAACACAAATATTTTGAGGACTCTATTTGTTCTAAAAGACCATATCTCACTATCATCTTCGCAAATTGATCCAACAAATCCCATGACCCATAGCTCATCGCAGGGGTTCATGCTTGCTTCATTAAAGCCATCCAATAAATGAAAGAGACATGATCGTTGTTCATGGATTACAATTCCCTCCCTAAGGACAAGTCCATGACCCATTTTAGTACAATTCCTTATGGTCCTTTCAACACAGTCCAGTATTGCAGGGAGACATCTCTTCAGTACATGTACACGACACGCTCCAGAGGGCTGTTTCGCAGACGACTATCTAGGGTATATGCCCTGTGATGGTAATGATGAGGATTTTGGCCCTTGTCCTTTCCGGCTAATTACTACACACACGGGTCATATGCAGTCCCCACCCAGGGCATATATTCGACCTCATCAAGGGACAACCACACTACGAAACCCTTATCGGTTGTGCAAAATGCTTAAAGCTATGGGTTTTTAACGTCATCTTGAGCCTAGCCAGTTGAAACTCAGGTGAGTCACGACATCAAAATGATGCGACAATCCATTCAGACCATACTCCCACTGGAGCCATCATATCAGTATACGAAGATTTTTAGTATATGCTCTCATTAAGGGCCTTTAAATTGCACAAAACCCCTAAAAAATTTGATTCCGAAGTTGACGGTCTAATTTTCCAATTTGATCTCTACAATCCTCAAATTCTCTTTTTAAAATTTGAAATTAGTGTTTTCATAATGTTTGAGGGGGGACTTTTTTGAGGGGCTATTCTCCATATTCCAAGAAATATTTGAGGGGGACCTTTTTTTCTTTTTCTTTGTGTTTTTACCTTTTTTGAGAATGAAAGAGGCTAGGTTGTGTTTGGGCTTTTAGGCACAGACTTCAAGGGTCTATTTTGAGAAGAATTACACATATGTGAAGTTTGAGTATAACAGATATACTCGGCATTATAGGTTGAATACATTTGTTAAAAATTTTTGACTAATGAGTTTGATAATACTTGGGCAAAGCAGCCTACCCTTGGAGCCAGCCACTAAAGAAACTTCCAGTTACTGGGATGTAAGCTTCTTATGCTAAGCTCCTTAAGTTGTGTTGCTGGAGAAGGTTGGATTTGGGGACTAAGGGAGTTACTATTATCCTTGGCTTAAGGCTTCTTCTAAGCATTGCCCTCTGCTTTCCCCTCTGAGATATGGTTTCCATAGTCCTTGTGACTTAATTTGCTGTCACTTATGTTCCTTCAGTTTTGTTTTTGTTTAGCTTTTGTTTATCATTGTTGAGTGTTTTAATCAGCCCATTTTAAGTAGTATTATTGCAGTATTGCTTCAAAAAATATATACCTTCAGTTAGCATTTGTGGTTTATTTATCCATGTTCAAAATAATGCTGGGTGGCACCCAGGCGGCCAAGGGGTTCTGCTATGTAGAATCAGAAGTATTGATTGGGATAGATATATCTGAGATTTTCAATGTGGTTGCTTGAGGGCAGTAGTCCTGAGTTATTTAGAATTTTTGCATTGATCATTTCCTTTTACTTGAATTAATTGCTTCCATTTATTCTTTAGAGTATGTGTACTTCTGATTGATGTCCTGATCTTACAAGTGATAACACTGTCATTTCTAATTGAAAATTTGAGCAGGTGAGGAATAAAATTGTTCGTGAGGTCATTGATTTTATTAAGGCACATCAATGGCTATTTGATCAGGTTCTTAGAGTAGATATCTCTCAAGCTGATGAGCTGACATTGGAACTAATTGATCTTATTGTTTCTATACTTAGCAAGGTAACTTTGTTGATAAGATGGTGCGTGGAAATTCTTCCTGATACGTGTGAAGGTGCCTTTATCTGATGTGTAAATTTTTACTAAACTAAATGAGCAAATTTCTGGATTGTTGCTAGGTTTGGCCCTATGAAGAGCAAGATGACTTGGGTTTTGTTCCTTCTCTGTTTGGTATGATGCGTGTTTTATTTTCTCTAGATGCGAATCTTTTCAATGTCCTCGCATATCAGGAGCCATAGAGGTGATTATTTGTGTCTTCTGTGGGAAAACATGCATTCTTTTTCAGAAACTTCCATTTTCCTTTCGGATTTTGTTTTTACCAAGTAAATATGCCTTTTTTGTCCAGAACTCTAAAGCCACAGAATTTATATTATTCCGCCTGTGCTACAATTTGGCCTCTTACTTATATTTCCTGGTCATGAAGAAGTACTTGAAACTCCAGGTTTGTGTGATAGCCTACACTAATATGAAAATGTTACAATCAGTTATTTGTTTTGTAACACTGTTTGATTGTGATGACATTGCAAATGATTGTTCTGCCATAACATGTTTATCAACTCAATTATTTCAGCATCATCCGATTCAATATCTCTGCATTATCTATCGACTTGCAGTTTGCATGCTTCATAAAATAACTAGTATATATTGTGTGCTTGTAGAAAATCAATTGCGGAGTTAAAGTGCATCCTCACAATTATGGGAAGGTGGAAGGGATGTGTGCAGGGAGAGTTTCTATTAGAAGAAATAAAGGATCTTGATGGCCCTTCAAACATTTAAAAATAAAAAAGAAAAGAAAAGAAAAAAGAAAGCGAGTTGCAGTTGAATTCAAGTCCAAAAAATGATAATTGGAACACCAAAATCCCATTTTTTTCTTTTCTTTTGATGCTGCTAGAACCGAATAAATAGGTCTAGGAGGGTTGGGAACAGGTGTTATATGCCCCTCAAAAGCTGTCCCTAATAGAAGTTACATCCCATAGGCTATTTTATACTGGCCAGATGCTTTGGTTTTTCATGAGGCTGCCCCCTTGTTGCCAAGATGCCACTTTTGGCTTCAAACTTCAACATCTTACTCTGTAGGTCACCCAGCCTCTTGTGATCTTCTTCACTCAATACAACGGTTAACACTTCCCAAAAAGAAAAAATAAAAAATCAACATCATACTTTGTTACAAATTTCTAGTGGACAAGCTTGAACATTTTGTAAGTAGTAGCGTCATCAATTATTGACAAATCAAGTCTTCATGCTGAAAGAAAGAACCTTGAAATTGTTCTTTACTCTTTAGAGGGTAACAGAACTACATTGCCTGGTAGTTATTGATGATAATGAGGATTTTAGTTGGGGAGTGTGAGTTAGTGATGCCATGTATATAATGTGAAAGGAATGTATGTTACACGAGATATCTCATTTCTAATTTTCTCTGTGTTTGCCAATATGGTAATTATTTTGCTCATCACTTTCGAAGTTCCACAGTATGAAACTTGAAATTGATTATTGAAAGTAAGTTTACCAGACCAACGAAGAAGGAAATCTGATTAGTCACCTTTTCTGTGTTGTAATGCTTTATATGTGTAAGCATAGAGTTAAAAGCTACTCACATTTCTCTCCTTATCGGAATTGTTCCCATGATAATGATTTCTTGAGTCCACAGGTATCTGACAGTTCTGGAAATTATCATGAACTTGGTGGGAATCTACAACCAACGTTGATGTTGCTTGTTGGGCTTCTTAATTTGGTTACCACGGCTCTTGGCAAAGCTGTTGAGGAGAAGTCCTTCTTGCTAGCCAAGGTATGTTTTATTCTCTGTTTATTTCCTCCTGGTGTACAGAACTCCTACTGATTTTAGTACTTGTAAGCTATTATGACAAGGTTGCTATCTTTTTGTTAGATTCAAGACATAAATGAACTACCGAGACATGAGGTAGACGACATTCTTGACGTTTACAAACGTCAGGACTCTGTAGCAGCATCTGATAATATTCGAAAGAGGTATTCTATTTGATAAAGGCTCTTCTTGTATTTTGCTTGGCTCATTATTAGATATGATTGAATTGCTTTTCCTTTGTGTATTGTATATTTAAAGGGAGTTATTTTTTATGTTGAGATATTATTTTAACTCCTTCCCACCATTATAATGATCTATGAGAAGTTATGATGAACATCCACATCTTCAGATCATGAAATGGCTACAAAAACAAGTGACTTGGAAAAACGTTGGGGTCAATATGCAGCTGTGTGTAGAATTTATTGTATGAGGCCATAAGCAGATGAAAGTCTAGGATCTTCTGTGACAATAGAAATGCTTATCCGTCTTTTCTATGATATTTCATGAGAATTTTGTGACAGAATTGTGTTTTTCTATTCCTTGATACTATTTAAAAGCTGCTTCTTATCTATTCTTGAAGGAGGTACATTGCCATGGTTGAAATGTGCAAGAGAGCCGGAAATAGGGATCGTCTTATAAAGCTATTGCTACAAATTGTGGAGCGTGTGCTCGACATTCTGTTTTCTCATTTTCAAGATAGGTACTCTGTGTTGTTTAATAAGCCTTTCAATTGACTTAAGAATGCCTCAAGTTGATTGGTTCTATTATTCTTAATGGGAGCTCATCTTATATTTCAGGAAAAATGGCCAAATGCGTGTGGATGGCATCAGTGCTGGGTCAAAAGAAGAAGTCTCAGTTTTGTCTCAAAAGTTGATGCCAACTTTAGAAAGACTTGAAGTACTATCTGAGGTATCCTTTATGCTTCTTTTTAACACCTTTCCAGAAAAAAAAAAAAATCTTTGAAGCTGTTGTTTTGTCATTTGTAATGTCAAGTCGTCAACTCTTGTTCGGAATGGTAAAGTGACAAAGAATGCTGTAGAAATCTAATGATCAAGACCTGCATCTATGCAGGCAGGTTAAAAGTTTCTGAATGTTCAATATACTCCAAACTCAATAAAAAGGACTGCAAAGGCAAACCAATGTTTGCAACTAAAGTGGTCATGAGGATCGTAGGATGCTTGTTTATGGACACCACATTTTACCATTCTGATGCAGGCAACTTCAACAACAATAAAAACAACAAGAAAAAGCCAAACGCAAGCACAAGTCAAAGAAACCTAGGATTTCTTCTCCATATCGTTGCAAAAGCCTAAGCTTTTCTCTTTTTTAATTTCTAAAAATCATGTGGGATGACCCCACAAGGCCCCACACACCTCTTATATATTATAATGTCATGTTTCAAGTACAAAGAGTGTCCAAACAAATAAAATATTGACCCATATATTTTATATTTACTTTAAAATTCGTAATGAATGTTTTACTACTATGAACAATACCCATGAACAGTACTCATGAATAATAATTGTTAATAATACTCATGAAGTAAATAAAAAGATAAAAACCCTAGAATTCTTTAAAAAATTAAAAAAACCACGAGAGATGAGCGCTAAAACTAAAATTATGATATACATCCTTTTAAATTGAAAAAAATTAAAAATAAGAATAAGTTTGCCCTCCATTTTCCTCTCCATTTTCCTCTGGTTGGAGAAAACTCGTCCTCGAGTTTTGAAGTGTGCTTAGATGAACTCAGCATCAAAGCCACTTTCTTCAAGCTTATGTTTGTTTGTTAGCTCAAAGATTATTCGTGGTAAAAATAATTGCTCAAAAAACATATCCTTAGGGATCAATGCAAATTTATGAGATATGGATATCCTTGAACTTCCATTGAAATTTGTATTGGGAAACTACAAACTCAGTTTTCTATCCTCCAGAGGCTAGCTACCCATCTATTTTATTACTCTTTGAAACCAATGCCAAAATTTGCAGTTTATCGATCGATCACACTTCTACTGTGTTACTCTGATTCTAATGCCCTAAATCTCGTAATCCTCCACCATTTCGATATTAATGAGGTTTTCAAAGGCCATGGTTTGGATCAGTTCTCCTGCTACCTTCTCTTCATGTTCTTCATCGTCTTCCAAAATCTCTTTCTTCATCATCTTGATCCGATCTATGATCATAGATCGGATCCCCTAAATGAATATGTATTGAATCCCAATCAACAATTGCTGATTTGCGATGCAATCTGCGTCAGTGTTAAAAATATCATCCTTCAAATCGAAAACCGTAGGGTGATACTCTCCACGTCTAGTTCATCTGTCACTATCCTGAACAGTCGACTCTCCATGTGGAGCGAGAAAGTGAAAAGGCCTGTACTCAAGATCCTCTCGATTTGAAAAATCATCGTCTTGCCCATTGTTGAGGCTCGTGAATTGCTTCATTAGCTGTTGAACTTGCTTTTCAAGTTCCTCAATTCTCTCATCTTTGGGTTTATAGAGCAGATTTACAAAACCCCTGCTTGCACAACCCCTTCTTGCCTCCATAGGATCGTTAAAATCACATACCTTAGGCATATGATCAACAAAAACCTGTTGAAATCAGCAAGATCTAAGCTTTGTTGTTGATCTATGGCACAAAGACCAACGCTAAAGTACTGTGCTTGAATACTATCCATATGTATCATGAGATCTAATACCAATTTGGTGCAGAAAACTTGATGAATAATAAACAATAAGATAAAGCCAAACACAAACACAAGGCAAAGAAACCAAGGGTTTCTTCTGCATGCCCCAAGTTAGGGTTTCGAAAGCCTAAACTTTTCTCCCTTTCAATTTCTAAAAATCAAATGACCCCCTCAAGGCCCCACACACCTCGTATATATTGTCATTTAATGTTCCAAGTACAAATCGTGTCCAAATGACTAATACATTGACCCATATATCCTAACTTAGCTTTAAAATTGGTAATGACAGTTTTACCCTTGTGAACAATATTCATGAATAGTAATTGTGAAAAGTTCTCATGAAGTAAATAAAAAAAATAAAAACCCTTGAATCCAAATTTTTTTTTAAAAAAACCATAGAATAAAATATAAAACTAAAACTATAATATACATCATTCAAAATTGAATAAAAATAAAAAATAAGATTAATTTTTCCTTCCATCACTTTCTCTCCTTTTTCATTTTGGCTTTCTGTATTCTTCATTGTTTTCACCATGTTTATGATTGGCTTCCTTGGGTCCACCCTTGTCTACCACGCTTGCATCCTTATTTACCTTTTCTCTATTAGTACCACTTTTCATGATATTGCATGTATCTTTAGTGTTCTCTTCCAGATGTTTGAACTTGCAAATTGTTGATTACCATCTGAAATCCCCATCAACATCCTTTTATCACTATGGTGACTTGGAAATTCATACTGTTTGTCAATTATCCATTAGCTTCATGAGTGATAAAATCCCCTATGCCTCAATTTTTTTGTGTGCGTTCTTTCCTTATCTCTTACATTTTTCTTTTTAGCGTTTTGTTGCTTTGCTGATGGTTCAGGGAAGAGGGGAAATAAAATAAATAATTAAAAAACTAAAAAACTAGATATAATAGTTGAGAGATTATACCTTCTCTTGGGGTCTGTAGGAGAGTCCACACCAGAAAGAGATCTTTTCATGAGACCCAAAATCAATTCTTCCTCTCTCCTTTTTTTTTTTGTCCAATAGCGACATATTTATGGAATAAAATAACTGTAAGGCCTAGCTTGCTCTCTTTAAGAAATCCTAATCACTTATAAAACCTAGCCTTTCATCTTTTAAAAAATAAACTTCTAGTTTTACCCCTCAATTCTGTACAACAAATAAAAAGAGACGAATACCCTAAAAGAAAACTATAAATCTAGATAACTCCGAACCTAGTTTTTAATCTTCCAAAAGAATTAATAAAATAAGAAATTAAAAAGACTCCAATTGTATTATTCTCTTTGGGTAGGGAGAAGCTCGACGTTGAGCGTGTTGTATTGATTCTATCCTTCATAGATCATTCGAATAGTAGGTGATGGAGTCCCATCATTTACCTAGGTACTTTGTCTTCTTCAATAAACCAATTAACCAAACACTTGGTGTGCAACTTTAAGTAGAACTCTAGGATGTCAAGCACAATCTTGATTTCTTCAAGCATAAATGGTTGTATTTTGCATGTTGCAACTGGTGTATCTTCTTCATAATTATTTTTTGAAATTTGTAGCACTTTCGGGTTGTTGTCAACAACCTTCATATTGATGTTTACCTCTTCATGGTAGTTTCTCCTTTATTTGATCTCGAAAGTTAAAATTTTGTGCTAGATCTATTGGATTACAATTACCTTCTTTTCAATGATTGGTATCTAATCATCATAACTGTCGATTTATTTCACATATCTCTGCTCGAAGTTCCCGGATCTCAACTCAAATACCTTCCAAGGTTTGGTTCCTATGTTTTATTTGTTGATTCACAACTATTATGACTTGTGGCTAATGTCCTTGATCATATGAGCGAGTTTCACAATGATGGTTGGATCTTTTAATCTTCTGGTACCAATTGATGCGGGGAAGAGGGAAAACAAATAAATAAATCAAAAAGTAAAAAATAAAATAAAGAGATTATACCCTCTCTCAGGGTCTGCAGGGGAGTCCCCCCTAAAAAGAGATCTTTTGAAAAGATCCAAAATAAATTCTTTTTCTCTCCCTTTTTTTATTTTTATTTTTTTTCTGGTCTAATACTTACATATTTATGGAAGAAAATAACCCTAAAACTTAACTTGATCCCTAAGAAATTCTAATCAATGTTGAATGCTAACCTTTTATCTTTAAAAAAGAAACTTCTAGTTCTACCCTTCAATTCTCTACTACTAAAAAGAAAAGACACAAATACCCTAAAAGACAACTAAAAATCCAAATAACTCCAAACCTAAATTTAATCCTCCAAAAAATTGAAATAATACGAAACTTAGAACTCTCTATTTTCATCCGCTGATCTCATGCCCCTCTCTTCTTGTATATGCCTAGTTTGAGTTTCTTTTTAATTTTCTTAGAAACAACTCGAAGAGACCACATATTCTTTCGCCCTTGTGTTGATCGCTCTCGGATTAAAGAGCCGGGCAGTTGCCAATGTACCTATTATACCCACACAGCTAAGTCCTGGCTTCTAGCTCTAATGTGTATCACTAGGCCTCCATGGACTTTGAGAGTGCTTTGGTCCTTGCACATAACCTTCCTGTTTGAATTGGGAAGTTTATAGGGTCTCCTATGCAAATTGAGGATCTTGGAATGGACCTACTTGTCTTGGAATCAGTTTTCTGGTCCTCATCTTTATAATGATCCTATTGCATGATGAGATTTATTTGAGGTGCTTTGGGCATCTATATTTCATGTTATAGAACGGCTTTTGAAAGTTTTGAGTTGCTCAAATGTGTACTTTTGAAGCTCCAAACAGATACTCAGATTTCAGAGAGCTTCAATAGATCCATCCGATACTTGCGGTAAAACATGGTGCCATGGTCCAGCTGTTAGGACATTGGACTCTGAATCCATAATCTGAGTTTAAATCTCAGCGGAACCTCATTCTGTGTAGCAAAAAAGACAAAAAAAGGGAAAAAAAAATTGATATCCACAATACCACGTCTGATTTCTGGTGGCCCTCAATACTCATTGGATGCTGTGGGATGTGTTTGGAATTAATCAATAATTATGGATAAGCGCCTAAGATTCTCTGAGTTTAACTCTTCTGAATGAAAGAAGAAAGTACAATTAAAAAGTACAATTAAAAAGGACTAATAAAGAAATAATTTGAGGAATATGGTTCTAAAGCATAATGCATGAGATTATTTTATTATGATGAAACGAGGCACTATATTTTCTTGTGGAATTTCATGCCTAAAAATATGGATGTCTCTAAGCCTGCAGGTGACGGAGAATGCCATTAGAAGTTTAAGGGTAGTGAATAAGGCCTGTTTGGAGACAACTTCTCTATTAAGGAAGGGGTACTTATTTAGTGATAAGTTTTTTTTTTCTCAGTTGTAGGGCTTTCGCTGCTGTTTTCTTGATAAATGGGTTCAAGAAAGTATGTCACCCTTGGAATGGGGGCGTGGCATGGGTGGTTAGGGGGGCGGATGCCTTAATATGACATCCCGCCCTCCATTCCAATGGTTAACATATCAGAAAAAAAGAAAAAGGAAGAAAGTATGTCACCCTAGATTAGTGGAGCGCACCACGCTGTGCTGTTTTCACTCTTAAATGGGTGGAGGGTGAAAAAAGGCTCTCAAAAATTTGTGATCCAATTGGGGCTAAGGCTCTTTTGGCAAGTGGTACTGGTGCTTCAGTTTATATAGGGAGAGTGTTTTGGGGCAAAGTAATATTGGGGAAGTATTGCTTGAGTTGAGGCAGAGTAGGGTTGAGGGTATTGGAAAGGTTGGCTTGGTTTCCCATGGTCATGGTGGGCTATGAGTTCATCAATCATGAAAGTTCCCATCAATGATGAAGAAAAGAAAAGAGCCTTGGGTTCTGGAATTACATGCTTGGATTGTTGTGCTCAATGAAAATTAGAAAGCTAACAATACAGCTTAGATACCCGATTGTTACGATTCATTGGAAATTCTTAATTTATCATAACGACCTCCACAGATGTACCTGATTTGAACACTAAAAATTACTTGTAGATCAAATGCATGGCAGCAAATCTTAACAAGGTATAATATTTTGAGCCCCCATCGTTTTGCAGGATAAGATGAGGCAGAATCTTAAGGTGTTTCAAAGACTAGTAAGCTCGCTAAAGGAAGCAATCATTCAGCATCTGTCATCTTGACCCAAAGGGTCCAAGGAGGTCTCTGAGTTTCTTGTGCTTGTCTGGTACTGTCGCTTTGCTGTGGGTCACTTTCAATTTTTGTGTGTAATCTTATGTCCAATGTTCACCTCTTTTGCTTGATTTTTTGGGGCTGAATCGGTTGTGTATCTGATGTTTATTTAGTGGCATATTTAATTTTCCTTGCAATAGAAATGTGAAGTAAATCACATTCACACTCGCGTCCCCCCTTTCTTTTCAGAAAAATATGGCAAGTTTATTTTGTTAGTATTTGGTCTGTGTTTCTGTGTAAATGTTTTGTTCTGTGTTTCTATGACCTTTCTTGGCCTTAGAAATTGCATCAACAATACTAAGGATATACAACCCTACGTTATCAAAAATTTGGGTCACCCCATATTCCAGCTCACTGTTTACGAGGCTAGTTGCATTCGTCTTTAAATTCCCAGCAATCGATTGCCTAAAGTCTAATATTTTTCCATGCCACCTCTTTTACTTAGATCAACCATCAAGAGAAATTAAAGAATAACTATAGCACAAACCTTTATGGCAAGAATGTATTGGATTCTGGATTTCTGGATCGGACGTGGGGACCTGTTCTTTTTCTTATGATAAACATTGTATAACACCGCGATCATGCCCGGAACAAAAGTGAACATGAGTACGGAGCAGAGCTGAACAGATATTAGTGAAAATGGTGGTGCTCAAACTGACATAGCATTTAAGGATTCTTGATACGGACTTCCTGTATCCCGTTTAGCTTGACTTGTCTTAAAAAGGTGACTGTAACTGCCGTGTTCATCTATGTTGATCTCTGTCCTTCCATATAGAGAGAGAGAGAGAGAGAGAGAGAGAGACCACTCATTTTGATTCCATTTTCAAACAAAATGTCCACTCATTATGATTCAATTCTGAACTTTATTTTTTCATTTTGGGTGTGTTGATATAGAAGAAATCATTTCAGTTTTAGAGAAAAGAAGCTGAGGGGTAGTCTTTGTAGTTGGAGATACTATGCATCATAAAAAATGCCGAGTTATTCTAGGGACGAAGCGATCGTCGGGCTCAATTGGGATTTGGGGGAGGGGATTCTGCTTTGAAGAACCCGAGAATCTCCATAGTTCTCTGGGATTTTCATTTTTCTCTCCAATTTCTTTCTTTCTTTCACGTAATATGAGTAGGGAATTGCCCAAGTCAATCAGTTACATGGCAGTTTACTGACTTGAGTCGGATCGGGCTATTGGAATTGAAGCCCTGTTGATTTAGGGTCCAATTTCAAATTTTCAATCACGGGAAGAAATTAGGGAGAGGGGCCATTTTAATGTTCCTTTTCCATTCAGGGCCCGATTTTAAAACTTCAATTACATGGCAATTTATTTATTTTAATTTTCAATCACTGGGTATTGTTTGTGTTTTCCTTGTGTGGGGTTGAGACTGGGCTTGCTGTGATGAATTATATGGGGGAAATTGGGCTGGCCCTTGGATGTGTTAATGTCTCTATCCATGTTTATTAGTATTAGTATTTGTGGTTTCTATGGCCGTGTTGTATTTCGGCTCTCTGTCTGGCTTGTTGATAAGCTTTTTTAATCTTGATTGTTTATTTTCCTCTTTACTTTTGCTCCTCTTGGGTGGCCCTCGCAGATTGGTCAATCGGCTAGTTCAAACTGGTGAATCAGCCGTATCGGCCTGATCTAGCCTTAAAATTATTCAAAAAATCATTAATTTTTTTTAAAATCTAGCTTTTTAGGTCTCCAAAAAAAAAAGTAAGCCTTTTATGGGATTTTTAGTATTTGATCATTGATGAAATATTTTGTCTTAGTTTTTTCTTATTCACTGGTTCTTAAGACCATGCATTTTGGTTCTAAGGACCTTCCATAAATGCTTAAAAGGCTCAGATAAAGCCTTCAAAGAATCATGAATGCTAACCCATGAGCTCTAAAATTGCAGTTTTTCTTTATGGTGTATGCCTTGACATGGTTTAGTTAGGTCATATAGGGAGTTTATTTATATTTTAAAATTTTTTAAATTCAAACACAAAATGACGTCGTGACCGTTAGATCGGCTTAGATTCAATCTAAGCTGTTGGACTCATATGTTCATATGAGTTAGTAGGCTAATTTCAGTATTTTCTTATATGTGTGTGTGTGTGTGTGCTGTTCACTGGGGATTGAGACCCTTCGTCGTAGTAAGACTGAAACTCAAGATATCATGTTGTGGTTATCTGTGCATTGACCACCTAGCCTTGAAACCATTGCTATGTATGCCTTTTATAAAGGGAGTGGTTTGTATACGGTTGCAACCTTAAAAAATCAAATGAAGGCGCACCTCCAATAAAATATTCATAGGATGGCTTGAGAATGTATGTCATCTCTAATTATAAAATCTTAAATACCAAAAATAATTTAAATCAAGTAGATCTATAAATGATTGAAAATCTTGAAAATAGACAGTCCAGATAATGTATTGCAAGATACTCTATTTTTAGGATTTGAAATCTTTTTTCCTTTTGATATTCGTACATCTCGACGTCGAGATGACCAAATAATTTAAATCAAGTAGATCTATAAATGGTTGAAAATCTTGAAAATAGTCAGTCCAGACAATGTATTGCAAGATACACTATTTTTAGGATTTGAAATTTTTTTTCCTTTTGATATTCGTACATCTCGACGTCGAGATGACCAACTAGAGGGTTTTCCAACATCAAAACAACCTTTTATGATGGATTTTTGAGATGCACCTAAATTATACTCTCCAAATCTAAATCAATTTCTTATTATTCTATGAATGTCATAATTAGAACACAACCATCTTTCACATGGAGAGAAGCAGCCTCTTTATTTGAGAGAGAGAGAGATAGAGAGTAATAAGAAAGATAAAACAACTAGCTGGAGTGCTCAATGTCCAACAACTGGTCGGAGTGGTTAATGTGCACCATCATCTCACTTGCTATGGTGTATTGCTTTCTCAATCTCAAAACTATTTTTTGAAGCAGGTTGGAGGCATGGAACTTTAGGGATGACTTGACCTTCTGCAACACCATGGGCATTGAGGCAGTAAGACGTGGTTTCTTTGCCTTTAGAGCCGGAGAGAACGAGGTCGATGTCTTTCACGACGATGTTTGTGCAGGCCACGCTCTCGCTGCATGCTAATATAATGGCCAATTTGCTGCTTGATGTTCCTTGGGATCCCGCAAACAACACATCGCTTATCTGAACAGCATTAGTCTGGAAAAAACAGTCCCTAGCTCACCAACAGAATCCATGCGTACAAAATAGTCGATTTGAAATGGAATAATCAGCTGATTCCCTCAGTTTTTCAATGCTTTTTGGTTTTCTTTTGCATCCAATTCGAATAAGAAATCGCCCGACTTAGACCCGGTGAAGCAGAATTGCTCCCGGCGATATCTAATTTTGTCTTTTGGAGCATATCTATAGATTATATTGTAGGTACTTCATTACCGTTAGTAGTTATATTGATAATACGTTCCTAATGCAGAGACTTGTGAATTTTAAGCTGGGAGTGTTTTGTTGTATTTTGCCTTGGAAAAGACCTTATCTTGATGATAAATTTGCATGTTGGAATGCACAATGATTTTTATCAGTGTATTGAGAAAGTGGTTTTTATCAATAAGGAGTAAATATGTCTTGAGAAAACGATATATCGTGTATGCAATAAAATATATTGATGCTAGTTTTGCTTCATTATGCCCTGTTTCACCCTTCCATTTCCAACATTTTGTGTGCGCATATGCGGAAGTGTAGTATTGTGGAGGCATGTGGAGTTTCAATATTTTATTTTATTTCTTAAGAGAGAGACAGAGAGAGGGCTTACTTGATTCCGGCAAGTTGCACCTGGACAGTAATACTGGTCGATGATGAAGGGCTGTTTGACGTTTGTGAAGGTGAGATTTTGGAAATGAATGTTCCTCACGTAACCATAGCCTCCCTTCAAAATAAGGGAGGTCACAATCATTTAACCATTAAATTTGAAATTCAGTAGTTGATGACGTATCTATTTAAAGTCCAAAACAAAATTTTTCTAATGTTGTGACACACTTTCATCTATTAGATTTCACATCTAATGGCTAAAAGTGACTGTGACCTTCTTGTACAAAAAATAAATGGTATCAGTATACAATCTCTATTTCAACAAACACATGCATACATTGTTAAACTGGTGTGCATGAGTATCTGGCTAGATTCTCATGTAATTTTCAATATCATACGTTAGTGGTGTGTTGTTCTCCATCAAGAAATCCACCATATGTTTCGCATGACTGATGGAGTACCAATTCCCATAAACTGGACAAATTATCAGGAACTAGGGCTGATCTCCACCATCTTTCTTCAAGGATGGACGGCGGATGTCCCTGTGGGGGATGAAATTACCATGAACAATTTGAGCATGTTAGCCAAAATATGGAGTGTACCTGCCATGTCTTAATCCGAGCTCCATTCTGTGTATTGTAAAATTGGGAATGTCTGATTCCAACACCGTCCACTTTCCCTTCACCCCCATCTTTGCCGAGACTTCCGATGCTATTCATGAAATTACAACATGGTTTAGAAAACATACAATAAAGCTCCATTAACACACATTGTTTAAGGGTGGCAATGGTCCGGGCCGGGCCGGGCCGGCCTTGTCCTAGCCCTTACCCTTATCCTTATCCCCATAAGTTTGGTTCAGGCCTGGCCCTAACCCTTTTAGCGTCGGATCGGCAAAAAAGAAAAAGAGAAAGATAAAGAAGCAAAGTAGAACAATGAAAACAAGAAAGGCCAGGACAGGCTGAACCGGCCCTACGCCCGCTCTTGGGCCACTGTTTTTGTGACCCATTGCCAGCCCTATGCTCATTGCCCTTTAGGAAAGTAATTATTAGTAACTTAAAGCAACCCAAAAGTACTATATAAAATCATAAAAATATCGGCTTGTTTCTTTCTCGAGCAATTAGTAAGATCAATAAAGCAATGTATCAAGAAAGGGGATAGGGTTGTAATGGTAGCATTCCACACCTTGATCACCACATTGTAGTTTTCATTCTCACTACTAATACCATTACACTAATACCTTCAAAAAGCTAACCCGAACCTATTTGAAAAAACAGGTAACAATGTGCTCTTATTTAGGGGTTAGGATGAAAAATTGAGTACAAAAGATTCCAATGAAAACTTGAGTATGTGAACAAATATTTCACTGATTTTTATTAGAGTGGTACCTTATGCCATGACCTGGTCCACAAACGATTCTAGTTATGTTCACATCATAGATTCCGTTCC